TATACCAAAATACATGCCAAAGACATGCTGTTTTGGGTCGCATATGAGCTGCTCATCTGCCCTTGAATGAGATTAAACCAAGAAAGCAGCGGCGCCTGATTGGCCCGTCCTGTGGCGAGTAGTTCTACTTTCAGGCTTCGAATCTCGGCCAAAACTCCGGTAGGAGTGGGGCCGAATTGAGCTTGCTCTGGAAACACATTGTTTTCCCTTCCCATATCGAAGGACAGGCATACAGTACAGCGTCTTTGTGGATGGTGTATTTGTGGGCTTAATCTTGTGAATATTTGTAAATATCTCAAAGTATTTACTTCGAGGCAACTTGATGAACTCACAATGCCTCTCCAGCGGCACCACGGACGCCTCATTCGCACCCGAAACGAGGGAAGATGTCCCGAGAATTTCCCCACAATGTTATGAATCGAGCTGACGTTTTCCCTAATTGTCGCATAGCATTGCTCTCCCAAAAATTCTTCTCATCCCACCCCCAGGGTGGAGTCGAGCCGCAACAGTGCTGCGTTCGACTCCCGCTGGGGGTGTGCTGAGAGGATCTGGGCGAGGTCGAAACCGCAGCGAGGGTCATAGTTGGCCCCTCTCGCTGACGATGCCGGCCACACGTCTGGGAGTGCACCAATTCAGCGATCCGATGCCGGAAATTATTGTGAATACTTTGGCAGGTGGACGCACAACCGGTCTTTCTGTCGCTCCGACCAAGTTTCGAAACCAACACACGCTTAATATGGGAATAGGTCAGCTCTACTCGTGTGATTGTGGGAAAATCGCACTACTAGTCGTTCATCCCCTTAAACGAAATAGGGTGAATACATTTCATAGAACTGATTTACTGGTAGCCTCGAAAACCTGCTTACATACGAAAAATAAGATGTCGCGAGGACTGTGCCAACCTGAATGTCGTATTTTAAAAAAAGACAAACCGCTACTGGAAAACGCGTCTTCCGATGAGATTGGCCTATGAATCTCTTCATTATGCTCTTTTATGCTAAACGACGGTCACCACAACATTTTCATCTCAAGAGAATCATTCAAGCTTAATTAAGCTTCGTATATCCAAGGCTATTTTTTCCCTTTAAATGCAATATCGGGAGAGAGGATAGTTGACTACCGCTAATCTCTTCAGGATACATTTTCATTTAAAGAAACAGTCTCCACAACAAAAAATGCCTATTGTCGGCAATTAGGCCAATCAAATAGACCATCATACTCACAACTTATCAAATAGAGAATGGCGACGATGGATAGACGGTGTGGCCATCTACAGCAAGATAGGCTCCTTCTTCTCAGACAGCATCATCTGACGCTTAAAAGACAAACTGTCTTTCCACCAAATGTTTGAGATACCATGACTCTACTGCAGCGAATTACAACAGCCCGACTGTCTAAAGCCCTTACTTCGGTTTAGTCTGTCTCCACATTTTGTCCCGGGCTCGGACGAGACATGCGAAGCGAATTTAAGTTTAGAGGACTTTTGTGTTTCACAATTGTTGAGCTCATTTCCATTTTGAGTGGAAATGTGTGATGAAGTGATTTGAAGCTCGATCACACGAGAAGACGACGGCAGATTCACGTTGTGCTGCCACCGTTTAGCTTTAATTCGACGTTCCGGATGGCGTAGACACAAGACGTCCTCCGTCGTTTCGGGGGAAAACATGATGAGCTCTTGTTCGTCATCCCGCAAAAGTCCAAAGTTTACAAGCAATAAGCAAAGAATGATGCTGG